CGCAGAATCTGAAAATTACAGCTAAAACTACTTCTAATGAGCTAAAAGTAAAGCTAGATAAAAGATATGTTGTGTTGTTTTCGAAAAAAGGGTCCCTTCATCGTTGGAAATCCTTGAGTATTTATAGAGCAGCTTGATAACTGTTGACCGCACTTCTCCTTGAAAGTCGTTTTCCACTTCCTTACGTTTCGCATTTTAACCGCTTCCTGACTTATCGATGTTGCTTACGCTCCTTGAGCATCACGTAGTAGCTAATTTTCTTCCACGTGTCTCTTTATTTCTTCCTTGATCTTCACGCCCATGGTCATATCTTTACCTTTTGACACTTGTAAATGAATTTTCCGCCACGTATTACCATGATTCCGTGCAAAGCTCGTGATCTTGGATTCGTCGACGTCACGTGCAAAGCTCGTGATCTTGGATTCGTCGACATCACGTGCAAAGCTCGTGGAGTTGGATTCGTCGACGTCACGTGCAAGGCTCATGATCTTGAACTCGTCGATGTCACGTGCAAGGCTCGTGATTTTGAACTTGTCGACACCTCTATGACGTGTCCTGTCGATAATTACCTTAGGTCTTCTTAATGCCTCTGGGCCTGACTTGCGGCCTTTTTTTGATTTTCGCTATGTGGGCCGTACTTTATATCTTTTGTAACTTGTAAACGACCCACTCCCACCAGGGATAATTTTGGGTGTCAACAGTGACGTGAGATGCTGGTCTAGAAAAGGACAATTTAAGAAAAATAATAGAAAGGAGAAGAAAACTTTACGGCCTAAAAATTGGTTCTGCCTGACAAAGTTAATGTACGGTCCCATACATTGTCACTGACTTTCAATCTGCATTGCACGGGCTTCATTTTATAGTTTCTTTTGTAAAAAGAAGAAAACATCAACGTAGAAGCACTCTCCAAAATACACCGTGCATTTCGATTATCTTTTGTCATTCGAACTATAATCATTCATAAATAGTTTCACTTAAAATCTTAACAAGAAAAAAGCTCGGCGATACATGCCTTAAAAACAAGAACCAAAATGGCCAAAAAAGAAGGGGAAAAGGATGGGAAAATCCTCGGTTTCAAAGCAAAGACAAAACTTCTTTGTGTGAGGTAATTGAACTATGATCTAGTCAACATAAATATTTTATGTGCTACCATAATGCAAACTATTTTATTCTTAGGGAAAACGACATAAATGGTCCTTGAACTTTAATTTAATGTGTAATTTGATCTCTGAACTTTTAATTTGTTCAATGTGGTTCTTGAACTTTTGGTACATATTCAAACTATTCCCTAAACTATATAAAAATGTTTAATGTTATCCCTGAACTTAAATTGATAGAAAAATAATATTGGATATTGTAATGTAGTCTAGGGACTAGTTTGAGCATTTACCAAAAGTTTAAGGATCACAGTAAATAAATTAAAAGTTTAGGGACGACATTGTATATTAGGCTAAAGTTCAATGACCATATTGAACAAATTAAAAGTTCAGGGAGCACATTACATATTGGGCCAAAGTTTAAGGATTATTTGTGTCATTATCTCTTATTCTTATGTGATACATACATACATTGTTTAAATGGTATGGTGTGCAAACACTAATATTTCTATTGCTTGGAAAGGAAAACAAAGCAATAATGGAGGATCAAACACTAACAGTAAAATCACCATATAATTTAACAACCATGACAAAAGAAGCGTAGAACTTTTATCCTTAAATTTTTCCATGACAAATGCCAACCCCCGTTCAATAGTCTCTCTCTAACCTTTTTTTTCTTTTTTTTTTTAAAGTTTTAGTCTGTGGCATCATCAGTCCCACGTCAATGCCAATTGTCCCTAAACACATTAAAAAGAACCACATCGAATATTTCTATCAAATAAAAGAAAATGGAGTAAACAGAAGCAATTTATTGTCTTGTTTGAACAAGTTTTAGAAAAAAATTCATAAAATTGCAATAATAGTCCACGTCAGCGCCGAATGTGATTGTGCCACGTGTCACGCCAAGCGTCGACTAGACCGCCATGTAAGTGATTTTCAGCCAAAATTGATTGTAATGACTAAATTGATAAATCATCAAAATATTTATGACTAAATTGACACAATTAAAATGTTAGGACTAAATTGGCAAGTTGTCAAAATGTTTATGACTAAATTGACACAATTGAAAGGCTTAGACTGAATAGGCAAATGTAAGGTTTATGACTTCTTGGATAGTTTTTCCGAGAATTGGCCTTCCCTTGGAACTTCACTACAATGAAGTTGACCCGAACTGAAATGATGAAGGTGAGAATGGTGCGGTGTTGTTCCATTGTCACACCCGATAATAGGCATTTCGGATATGTATATATTTGGAGGAAGAGGAAGAGGAAGAGAAAATGAAATTCTATGTGAATGCAACGTGTTTATTGCGACTCAAATTAACATCTTAACTCAGAAATCTTCCAAAACAGTAGATAAAGGGACGGACCAAGATCGGGGTTGCAATTTAAAGTGAACTTATCGGGTGAGTGAAAAAAGACAGAAAAAAAAAACTGAAAAAAAAGAAAGAGAACGGTGGACATGTTAAGAGAATTGCTGCGAAGTATCGTTTGTAATAGAATTCTTGTATGGCTCATTTTAATATTTTATGTTGGTATTCGTCCACCAAGAAAACCATGTGATAATGACGAAGGAGTTGATTCCAAAATCAAGTGGGGCCAAATAAAGAAGCTGCTTGTTTTTTGCTTGGACAATATATATATACACACACCTGTGTGTGCGAGTGTGTGTTGGAAAATCTACTTGATGACCTAACTAACCTTATGTGTTTTTTTTTTTTTAGGTTTTAATCTTTCTTGCGATGTGGCATCACCAGTCCCGCATCAACACCAGTTGTCCCTAAATACATTAAGAAGAACCACATTGAATTTTTCTATCGCATAAAAGAAAAAGGAATTAACTGAAGTAATCGATTGCCTTTTTTGACAAGTTTTAACACTTGATCGTGTTATTTGAAACTTTTAGAAATTCGGTTGTAGCATTCAAGAGTTAGTAAGTATTAGTGCTCTTCTTGCCCACGCTTTTTATGGATTTTATCTCTACCATCTTTTAATACTTGTGAATTATTAAAGGCTCATGCTAATGTTTTATGCCTAGGAATATGAACGCAAAGACCTGACTACCTGAAAGTCCACGGAACCACGTTAATATATGCACATTCTAATTTGCTTATTTAGGCTTTGAAAAATATACTAGGAAGGAGCCGAAACTTGGTGAATTTTTAGGTATTTTCCTAGTAGAGTGTGTGGGTGTGTGACAACAGAATAAAGGGGAATTTTCCCCCGGGCACATTTGGAGTACATCCATATACTTGAAAATGGCATTTGGGTTTTGGTTTTAAGTGACAATTACAAAGGATGACAAATTCACTAAAACCAGAAGTTTGAGGAGGCGTCAAACTCAAAAGTCGAGTTCGACGGGTTTGAGGTGCCCTCAAACTATTATAAGTCTTCAGTCGAAGATGCAGAGGCGAGAAAGATGCTGAGGAAAGGATAGGACTGGAGACTGAACATTTTTATATTGAATACAAGATTCTGAACCACAAACTTTTGGTTCTAAGTAATAGCAAATAATGATTTTTTAGGTATTAAGTCTTTAATACAACGTCCGGTTCATGAACTCGGGTCTTAAGCCCCCAATATCGGCCAAAACCTCGGGTCCGCAAATTCACAAATTTACCTATTGATGTTGGGTTATGGGGAAGCTTTCGTCATGAGCATTCCGATGCCCTGAAGATCACGCAAACCAGACGTCGGAGGCAAGAGTTACATGAAAGTTGCACAAACTTGAGGCCACAACACCTCGACCTGAGGCAATCACGTTCTTCTCTGTTAAATTTGTAAATTTACAAATTGAATTGGAAGATGAAAAAAGGGAGACTGATCGTTATTGGTGACAATCGAAATAAAAATCATATGACCCATATATTGATAGAGTAGAAGCTACAAAGAAATCCTCTCCACGATAAGGTTACGTCGGAAAATGAAGGATTTGGAAAATATTTTCCTAAAAACTATCGTTTATAACTCTTACAAAAATGAATGAACGAAATGTATTTTTATTGTCCATGAAAATGTTTAGATATAAATTGTTATCGATAATGAAAATATTTTCTATCGATTAATTATTTTAAGCGATCATTTGTAGAAATATATTTTTTAAATTATCTATTTTTCGCGAAACAAACGAGCTTAAGATCCCAATCCAATCCGAGGCCCTTTTCCAACCTTGAAGTCGAAGGATTTTTTTTTGTAGGTCCAAAAAAGTACGCCCTTTCTAAATTACGTCCTTCTACGTTGAGCAATTCCAGGTCTCCGGCAAACCCACCATGTTTCTAAAATTTCCTTATAAATTCATTTTGTTACTCTTTAGACCTTGGCGGAGGTGGTGGTCAGGTGGTGGTCGTGGAGATGGGCTGGTGGCCAATCGACAATGGGGAACGGAGCAGTACCCTAAATGGGCAGCTAATATAAGACTACGACACGTTTGAAAAAGACATAATCCGGCAGAGAACTTTTGATGAAAGTTTTAGGGGTTGATGGAAGACGAGATCGGATCTTGAGGGAAAGTCTCGCTCTTTTCTCACTCTCGCTCTTCTCTAAGTCTCGCAGGTGGATATTTGCCTAAGAAAGTATAGGGGACAAGGGAAACCTAATTCCCTATACTTTCTTATGGGAATTTTCCCTATACTTTCTTATGATTCCCTATACTTTCTTATGGGAATTCCCATAAGTGATTCCCTATACTTTCTTATGATTCCCTAATTCCCATAAGAAAGTATAGGGAATTACTAATTCCCTATACTTTCTTATGATTCCGTATACTTTCTTATGGGAAAAGTTTGCCTAAGAAAGTATAGGAAACTTTTGCCTAAGAAAGCATTGTCCTCTATACTTTCCCTCGAGATCCGTTCTCGTCTTCCAACCTTCTATATATATGTGACTTCGTTCTTCTCAACACTCAAAAGCCACATTCACTCTGCTCTTGCAGCTCTCTCTCCTTCCTATTTTCCACATCTACACACATTCAAGAATGCCAATGGCAATTGTCGTGCTTGATCAACAGAACAGCACCCATGCCATTTTCGCCTTCATGGTTTCAGTTTTGGTAACCTTCGTTGAAGTGAAGTACCAAGGGAAGCCCGATTCTCCATTTGACACTCAGCCCATCATCGTCTTTCTCACCATCTTCATTCTCCTTCTCTATTGCTCTTTGTCCCTTCCACTTGTTGCTGGTCTACAAGCGTTTCGTACAGGTTCCGGTGCCCGCATCTTTCTCTTCCTCAGGAACCTTTCCTTTCTCTCTATAGTTTTCCTCACACGGTTGTTGTTCAGAGGCCCCTCCTTCTTTCTCCTCTACTTGCCGTTGTTGCCGTTGCTGATACTGCTCCTTGCGGATCACTTGTGGGGTCTTATTCACAAGCTCAAGCAAAAGATTCTAGCAGTCGCATTTGTCCGTTGGTTCCACCATCGAGGAAGAATGCTTCTGCCATGAACGGTAGCCGAGACACGTTTCATTTGAGAATTGCAGTACTAACTGGTGTTAAACCAGTGATTGTTAGTGGCACGAGAAGATGTTAAGGAAACAGTAGGCAGTGTAGCGTGATAGACTAGCGCAGGATGCTTGTACGCCCCCAAAAAGGAATAAATTTTCTTGTATTTAAGTTAGTCTCATGATTATGGCTTCATTGAGAGGATCGAATTGACATATTATTTACCCTGTTGCTACGTTGATTATCAATGTAATTTCTTTTCACTGCCGGATGAATGACGCTCTGAAAGGGGGAGAAAGCCCTGACCTTTCCCTCGTTTTTTGGTAGTGAAACCCGGTTGAGGTCGCTCCCATAAGTCGTTCCTGCGCGTTTTAATTTCGCTGGGGTTCAAAATTTTGCGGTACGCGTCCAAATCGGTGAGCATTTCGCTCTGCTTTTTGGCTTTTCTTGGGTTTATGTTAGTTGGCGATACGAATTTTTTTTCTCTTTGTAGCGATATGCTTTCATTTTCACTTTCGACTGTTGTTCTGTCCTGACCGTGTGTCTAAATACTGGGTTTTTGAGTTCGATTGTTTATGTAAATCATGTTTGATGTTTGTTCTGGGCATGGAGTTAGAGGGGGGAAGTACAATGACTAGGAATACTAATAGCGAGTTTCATGGGAAGATATGTGAGAATTTCTCTATTCATTCTTGAATTCCTAAAATGTTGAAATGGGATTGCAGTAGGGATTAAGTGTCCCCCTTCTTGCTTTGAGCAGTAATGGATTGTGATTATCCAAAAAAATTGGAGAAAACTCTCGTTTATGATGTTTCTCCCTTCTCTTTTGTGCTGCATTCTGCTCTCTAAAAATGTTGTTCTTGCTAATGGGATTTGTGGAAATGGAAATTGTTTGATTTAGATACTTTTTCCTGAAAGTTGAACATGAATCTTATGCTTCGCATACCGCTTCAATGTGATGCCAGAAGAGAGGTACTAGGGTTTTAAATTTTCCACTATTATGTCGAGTTAAGCGCTCGTGGTGCGGGAGAAATCCAATTTTGCTAGGAGGCTTTCTGTGCTTCTTGATTGGTCCAGCTTGGTTGGTTTATCTTATTCATAAAAACGCACCTCTTTTTTCTGAGATAATGATCTGTGGGCAAATTTTTCAGCTTTAGTGTCACCAATTTCAGGGGTGCTTGTGTTACTACTATACCTTTCTGCTTTTCTGGCTTTCAACTGTTCTTTCGAGAAAAGATATGACTTGTCCACTGGTGTTGTATATTTCTGCGATACTAATTGTCGACACCTAAATTTTGACTAATAATTTAGTGATTAATTATATAAAAAATTAGGGATTAAATTTTAACCCCTAGACAAAGATATTAAAATTGCATAGCATATAATTTAGGTTCATATAGGTTAATTGCATTCCACATTAGATTGGCGGTGGCGAGTAAACCGAGAATCCATCGCGTAAATCGAGCTCAGGCATCGAACGAAACTCGGCTCACTTAGGGGATAGGAGTAGAAAATCGCAAGTCTAAAAGGCTTTGGTTATCTTAATGTGAAATTAAATAAGCCCAAGCTTAATTAGAGAAAAGCCCGGATTAATTCAGCCCATTTGAAATTAAAATAAAATTAAGTGATAAAACCTAAGCCAAAGTCCATTAGGTCTTAAAAGCCTGGCCAATTAACCCAGTATACGATATAAATATGTCAGTTATGCCTCATAAGCAGAGGACCCTCAGAATTTTCAAGATTAGAATTTTTAGAGATAGCAAGAAACACATGTGAGATTGAGAGTGAAGAGGAGAAGATGGCCGCATGTGCCATGCCGTCGCCGCCACCGCGGGTGCCCGTGTCTCGTTCAAGCCTGCGCCATCCCGCTGTCATGCCCGCGCCGCTGCGCCCTCACCGACGCTGCACCCCCTGCTCACGGCCAGACCTGTGGCCGTGAGTCACCGCCGCTGTTTCGCCCCCGGTGCCCGCTGCTGCTCCCGCGCCGACGAGCTCCCTGCCCCTGCTGCTGCCATGAAACGGTGACCCAACTCCGTGTCTTCTTGTCGACGACGAAGCCGCGAAGCTCTGCACGATCTGCTGGCCCCGAGACTGGGATCCTTTGATGCCATCAACGAAGTAGCTGAGCTGCTGTCCTTGACAGTCTCGTGCCGCTGCAGCTGTTCTCTTCTTTGTCGCCAAGTCTCCAGTCGAGCCTTGCATTAGTTAAGCCAACGAGTTTCCAGTCCAATCCCCCCGTTCTCCCTGGCGTGCTTGTTTTGCTGCAACGTGCCCACCTTTCCACAAGCGTCCCTGAAGTTCCTCTGGCGCGTAGTCCAGCTATTAGTCCATGCAAGATACGGAGAGAGGGAAGGGCATAAGGGGGCAATAAAAGACAAAAGGAAAAGATTATTTTTTCTTTCTTGCAGGATACGTTCCACCACTCCCTTTCTTTGCTGACCAGTAAAGTTAACGAGCCCAATTCCGAGACACCACCGTGAGCCTTACCGTTGGCCGAGTCCAGTCGAGCACCGCCAATACACCGCCGTCGTCCGTGATCCCGGTGCCTAGCCGAGCCACCCCTGCGCCGTCACTGGCCACCCACTGTCGGCCACCCCGTCCCGTGATCCGTGATCCCAATACACCGGCGAGATGAGCCGCTCGTGATCCATCGCCTGCCCACCCCATCCCGATCTGCGAGTCTGATCCCATGACATTCGAACTTGGAAATTATCCGCGAAATTAGGTAAGATTCTCATCCATATTTTTAGAATATTTGATTTCCTAATTTTCCGGTGTTTGAATATTGCGTGTGTATCTTTAGTGGATTGCTAGATAATCTTAGGATAATGCATGTGATATCCACAATATTTAAAATAGCGAGATGACTATCCGACCTTAACCCTGAGGTACGATACGCGGTGGTACGAAAGATTGTTATCTTATCCATAACCACTTAGATATGATAATATATCTTATTTGCTTTTCAAATTCAAACGGTCGACTTTCCATCGATATTCACGACCCTGTGGATATGATCGATATCCCAATTCATTTCCCTAATTTGAACATAATAAAATAGATTTTGCGGATCGCGTGGATCGGTTGGCGTGTGATTGCTATCCTTTGTTTTTTTGCTCTATTTTTGAAATAAAAAGAAAATCAACAAAATATATTAGTTAGGATTTAAATTAGAAATTTTGCATGTTTAAAGAATCCTAAGTATACCTAGAAGATAGGGTAATTGTTTAATTTAAATGGGGAATTAAGATAATTTATTCCCTAGTTTAAATTAGGGGTTATTCCATTCCTAATAGATTATTTATGATATTTTAGAATTTCGAATTTTCAAAAAATATCCAAAAAGAGTCACTTTAAGATAGATTAAATTGCCTTTTCTAGGATAGATTGCATCTTAATTTAGGCATTTTTTAAATTCCGAATTTCATTGGAAAAATACCAAAAATACATCATTTGCCCGTCATTACAATTAGGTCATGTAGTTTGTATGTTAGGTTTAATTAATCACATGTCATATTTTGGACGTCATTACACGTAGGTTAGTGTTCATTTAAATAAAGAGAAAACCCTAAAGAACAAATTGTGTGAATTGCTTTGTTAATTAAAAATCATATTAGGATTGTCTGTGTGATTTTCTAGCTAACAGTGCAGATGCTTACGTTGCTAAAAGGTAGCTTGTTCTCCTAAGCTAGTAATTTATTTACTGTTTTCTTTATTGGGTGTTAAATTGATGGATTGCGCACTTGCATGGTTACCCCACATGTTAGCAACTAATATTTTTTTGAAAAGAAAAAGTACCGAAAGGGCGTTAAATTAAACCTAACGTAACCAAGTCCCCAAACTCAAAATCTTTGGTTCCTAAAAGTAAAGCATAACTCCCGATACTTTACTTGGGTTTCTAATCGATCCACCAAAAATAAATTAATGGCGACTCCAAAATGAAAATGATTTGCATGTTAAAAACTTGAACGTTAAGTCGTGAGTTGGTATGGGTTTGGGAGAGCCCAAGTTAAGTCTAGGCTTAACAATCCATTAGCCGAACCCTTAGGTGGTGCACCCCGAGGTTAGGTCGCGACACTAATATAATGGGATCTATCTTCTTTCTGATCGATTTTCAGGTTCTGCCTCACTTCCAAAGAAGTTGGTTGTGCAGCCTTGGTTTCAAGCCGCTGTCTTTTGGTTGTTTTCAGCCTTTGAGTTTTGTAATGGCGGGTGAATTCTAAGTGACCCTTCCCAATGGCAACTGCAATGGAACTCCACCTGATCCACAAAGGACTTATCAAGTTGTTGTGGCTGCAACTCGAGATATGGGTATTGGCAAGGATGGAAAACTTCCCTGGAGGCTTCCCTCTGATCTCAAATATTTTAAGAGCATTACTCTTACAACAATTGATCCTGGGAAAAAGAATGCAGTCATAATGGGTAGAAAAACATGGGAAATTATTCCCACTGAGCATAGGTCTCTACCTGGCAGCCTCAATGTTGTTCTCACTCGTTCTGGGAGCTTTGATATTGCAACTGCAGAGAATGTCATCATATGTTGAAGCATGTGTTCTGCCTTGGATTTATTGGCTTCATCTCCTTATTGTCTATCAATTGAGAAAGTTTTTGTCATTGACGGTCGCCAGATATTTAGGTATCCTAAAATTTACTCATAGTTACAACTGCAGATGGGTTCTTCTCTTCCCCCTTGTAATTTTTCTCTTTTGGCGCAGGGAAGCTCTCAATGCTCCTGCATGTGATGCCAACCACATAACTGAAATTGAGACACCAGTTGAATGTGACACTTCTATGCCCATGGTTGATACATCTGTCTTTCACCCATGGTACTTGTCCTTTCCTGTTGTTGAAAACAGCATCCAATATTGTTTTACTACGTATGTCCGTGTAAGATGTTCTGCATTGGAGTCTCTGCCTCAGACAAATGCTCTGATCTTCAATGGTAAGACAGATTCTGTTAAGTTTGAGGCCAAGAATTTTACCTTTCTGCCCAAGATGATTTTTGAGAGATATGAAGAGTACCTGTATCTGAGATTAGTCGAAGATATACTGTTAAATGGCACTCCAAAGGATGACACGACTGGAACTGGTACCCTATTAAAGTTTGGATGTCAGGTGTGTTTTAAATTCTATCCAGCACATCTCCTTTATCACTAGGATCATTCTGTTTGTTCTTTTTTGCAGATGCGGTTTAATCTGCGCAAAAACTTCCCTCTTTTGACAACTAAGGTGTGCTGCTCCAAACTGTTCTACCTCTTCATTATATTCTTCTTGTGGAGTCATTTATGAGAAGTGCAAGGCTTTTATTCTAAACTCTGGTGGCAGAGATATTGCTACTGATTGGTTCTCAGATAGTATTTTGGCATGGAGTTGTCGAAGAACTTTTGTGGTTCATTAGTGGTTCTACAATTGCCAAGGTGACGACCAAAGTTTTTGTTTTCTGTAGAGCTTGCATTTTTTGAACTAGTGCTGTTCATTCATCCATAGTATTGAACTCTATACGAGCTATAAAGTAAATGAACTGTTGCTTTTCTGTTAATTGTTACCAGTTGATGCCTTAGTCTGTCAGTCATCTTAATCGAGTGCAAAAGTGAATTGCAAAACGGTATCCTTGAGTACTAAACTATTCTTTGCACTTCCACTTTGAAAATAGGAGATTGCGTTGTAAGCCTTTATGTTTTAAGAAAATTGCTGGACAGGATTGGTCCAACAACTTTGTCTGCAGTACTGGTATCTCCTCTTCTCCACTTGATTAATCAATTGGAAGCGACGTGTAGGCTGACCATTAAGGCTGCGAATGGTAACCATTCTGTTTCAGAAATCAATTTCTGGCCAGAAATTGATTTTTCTATTTCTGTTTCTGGAGGAGTTTCTTAGCAAAAAAATACGTTTGATAACGACACAAAATTTCTGTTCCAGAAACAGAAATTTGTTTGATAACGGCACAAAATTTCTTCTTCTCGGGTGGTCGGCGGGCGGTGGATGGTGGCGGGAGGAGGGCGGGTGGCGGCGGGAGACGGTGGCCGGTGGTGGGAGGCGGGCGGCGGCGGGAGGACGATGGCCGACGGTGGGAGATGGTGGCCGATGGACGGCGGGCGGCAGCCAACGGTGGCCGGCGGTGGGAGGTGGGTGGCGGCCAAAAGAGGGCGACCGGCGGCGGGAGACGGTGGCCGGTGGACGGCAGCCCACGGCGGCTGGCGAGAGATCGTGGTCGGTGGACGGCGGGCGGCGGCCGACGGCGGCCGGCGGTGGGAGGAGGGCGATCAATGGTGGGAGATGGTGGCCGGTGGACGACGGCTGGCGGTGGGAGGTGGGCGGCGGTGGCGGGAGGAGAGAGGCCGTGGGTGGAAGGCGGGTGGCGGCGGGAGACGGTGGCGGCCGGCGGCCCACGGCGGCCGGTGGTGGGAGGTGGGCGGAGGCCAAAGGCGGGCGGCGGTGGCTGAAGGAGGGAGGCCGGGGGTGGGAGGCGGGTGGCAGCGGGAGATGGTGGTTGGTGGTGGGTGGCGACCGTAGGCCGCCGGTAGGGGGAGTAGGGTAGGCGGCGGCAGGAGACGGTGGCCGGCGGTGGCGGCTAGCGACGGGTAGCGGCGGTCGGTGGGCGACGGCGGCCGGCGACGGGCGGCGGGTGAGCAAATGGCTAGTAGTGAGGGAAAGTGATAAGAAGAACAAAAAAAACTTTGTTTCTCATTTCTGTTCCAGAAATAGAGAAGCTAAAAATTTTAACTTCTGATTTCTGTTCCAAACCTATTTCTGGAACAAAAATTTATTCCAGAAATAGAAATTGGAATTTCGTTACCAAACAGATTTCTGTTCCAAACCTATTTCTGGAACAGAAATAGAGAAACAGAATGGTTACCATTCGCAGCCTAAACAATCTCATCCTACTACTAATTTTGCTTAGTCATATGTTTTGCTAAATGTATACTACTTGTTCTTTAGTTCTAGCAAAGCATTCTTAATTTGCTCGGGAAATTTTGGAACACTTCGATATTCTGAGCTTTTACAACCCTTTACTGGTGAGTAGTTTTCCACCACATTCTGTAGAAGTGTCTGGCTTAGTTTTGGCGTGAAGTAATTACCAGTAATACCGTAAAATGCGACCACTTATATTCGGCTACCATAACACTTTTTGGTCTTTTCAATTCAGTTAATTTATTGTGCCATCTATCCTCCAGAAAGATATCTATTTGAAATCATGCTTATCAAGTGCGCATCTTGCACTTAGACTAGATTGAAGCAGTCATGTCAACTTCCAAAATTAGATCATGAATATTAACTTAGCTGACTGTAAAAACTAATTATATTTGCCAGGACATACAGAGACTTTATATCATGTCCAATAGGACAACAGCCTTGTTAGTGACAAATAAGGACCATTTGTTGAGGAATGGTAAATTTATCATTTGAAACTATAAGATGGATCCGCAGTCATGTTTATAATTTGCTACGAAATATCACCTAAGAAGGAAGAACAAGCTTGAGGATGTGAAATATCTGTTTACAGAGGCAATGGTGCATTAACAAGAATATATAGATTACTCTTCCTAATTATAACTTGATGTTTTCTTTGATGGAATGATGACTCAATGAAATTGAGCTGGGACAGTGTTTTGCTTGGAGTGAATACAAACGGTTGCTGAAGTTGCAATATAGGGATCTGAAGTGACATATTTGTGAAAAGTGAATTGATATTATAACTCCAAAGGGGCTTAATTACCTTTGCTCTGAATTGTAAGATGTAATTGGTTTCCTGCACATCAATCCCTTGGAAGGTATTCTGGTTGAATGCTTTTGCCTTTAAAAAAACACTCTTCGACTGTCTAATGTTGGGATGACATTGTAAGACTATTTTGAGGATTTCCTTTTTCCGACAGATTCTTTAGGAAAAAGGCATTCATATATGGGATGGCAATGCTTCAAAAGACTACCTTGACGGGTTCGCATCTGATTCATGAGAATGATATACATATGGTTATTTTTTTCTTTACCTTTATGACATTTGTCCTGTCTATTTAGACTTGGTCTGAAAGATCGAGAAGAAGGTGACTTGGGACCAGTTTATGGCTTTCAGTGGCAGCATTTAGGTGATAGGTTGGCTTGTTTCATATTATTTGATTACTTTCTGTTGCTGCAATATATGTTTAATGACATTATATGTCGTCCGTCACAGGTATAGTAACATGCATGCTGACTATACCGGCCAAGGATTTGATCAGTTGGATGTTATTTACAATATCAAGAATAATCCAGACGATCGTCGAATTATACTCTCTGCTTGGAATCTTTCTGATTTAAAATTGATGGCACTTCCACCTTGCCACATGTTTGCGCTGGTTGGATATGTTTGGCTTCATTTTCCTGAATTCTCTGTTTTTTTCTTCTTCCTAACCTAATTTTTACCTTTGCAGTCTATGTTGCAAATGGGGCATTGTCGTGTCAAATGTATCAGTGCTCTGCTGACATGGGATTGGGAGTGCCATTCAACATTGCTTCTTATGCTCTCCTTACATGTATGATTGCTCATGTTTGCGGTATGTATGTGTGCTTTAGATAAAACGTCACAATATTTGTGGTATGTGATTTATCATTTGTAACGGTTGTCGACCAGTATTAATCAACAGTCTTGGAATACTGTAACTGCTGGTGTGAAGGGAAACGTGACTCACAGATGCCTTTCTAATGCTTCTTGTAGGATACTGGTTGGAAAAGATTTATGCTTCTGTAGAAGTTGCATTATTAGGATTACTGTTATAATAGTTTAAGTCTACTGGTTGGCAGAGATTACTAGCTTGATTTCCCAGCCTTAAGGGTGAAAAGTATCCTCTTCTTGGGAGGATATAAACATGGGAACTAGTACTTATCTTAAGTTTTTCTTCTGCAGATCTTTCTCCTGGTGATTTTGTCCATTTTATCGGGGATGCTCATGTATATCGTAACCATGTTAGACCTCTGCAGGAACAACTTCAGAAAGCACCCAAGCCCTTTCCAGCGAGTAATATGCAGTAAAAATGCAGGATGGAGACTTCGCTTTCATTCTGCTGACCCAACTTATCGTCTGCTGTACTCACTAAAAAAGTCTTGTCCACATGTACAGATTTTAAAGATTAACCCCGAGAGGAAGGATATAGACTCTCGGAGTCTCTCTTGCTTTCACCACCTCTCTCCCTCCCTGACCATGACGCGAGTCGCTCGATCCCCATGGTAAGTCTCCTCGTAATCTTCAGCTTTCAAGCAAATCATCATCATCAGACTCTCTATCTGTCTTCCTCGTGGCAATTCTCTCTTTGACATTCGAGTTTTCGTGGGTCGTAACTCGTAGGCTCTGAAGAAGGACAAATCCCTGCCTCCCTCATCCAAGCCTGCGAAATCCGCTGGTGGAAAGCAGAAGAAGGTATGACTCTCTCTCTCTCTCTCTCTCTCTCTCTCTCTCTCTCTCTCTCTCTCTCTCTCTCTCTCTCTCTCTCTCTCTCTCTCTCTCTCTCTCTCTCTGTGTTTGTCATGTTTAGTTGTTGAAAGTATTGGGATAACTGTGGTTCCTTTTGTAGTTATTGAGGATGTTTTTCAATGATGTTACTCAAAATGAAGTGAGGATAGCAGATCTTTCATGTTCGGCTACAATGGCCCTTGCAAGTTTTCAAATATTTCCACTACACATGTACTTTTTTATTTCGTACTTGGGGAGCGACTAATGAGTTATGTGGGTCTTAAGTTGAGCTATCGAAGAGTGTATTGGGCAACTGGTAATTACTGATTGCTAGTACTGGCGAGTAGTTTAGCGATTGGTGTCTCCTATTATAGGCAAAAATGAGATGGGAATATGTTCATGCTGCTTTTATTTGTTGTTTATGTTGGTTTAGTTGGGTCATGATGGGTTAGATTGTGTGATGGTGAGCACAAATGGAGCAAGGGAAAGCAGAAGGAGAAGGTGAACAACATGGTGCTGTTTGACCAGGCGACTTATGACGAGCTTCTGACCAAGGCGCCCAAGTATAAGCTCATCACCCCGTCCATCCTCTCTGATCGCCTAAGGGTATGCCTTTATGTTAGTCTAAATAGTATTTATAATTGTCTATGTCTTGATTTAGGCATCTACTTTTTCCCCTTTTCTGTTTACAAGATCCGTCATCTTGTTATTTCTTATATAATGTGATGGTCATTGCTATCACACTTGAACCCTTCTAGACATGTTTTGATGAAACCTTTCGTTGATGCACTTAGGTGAATTATGCACATGTATGTAACTGATAGGATGTTTTCAGCAGGATCTTGCTTTGTTAATTCTAACAAATGCCTTAACTTGTTAG